CGCGACGCGGGGCGCGGGCGCGGCGCAGACACTCTATAAAGGGGCGAGCCCGGCGCGCCGGCGGAGACGGCGCCGCGCGGACGCCGCCAAAGTTTGCTTCTGCGCTTGGCGGAGAGGAGGCCGCCGAGGCCCGCTCCCCGCCGGGGCCCGCTAGAGCCGCACCGGAGCGGCGGGGCAGCGCGGGCAGCGGAGCCCGCGATGTGAGAGGCGCCCGGCAGTGCGCGTCCAGGTCCGCAGGCGCCCGGCCCCTCCTCGCCGGCGCGGCCGCTAATTGCGAACGCGGCCTCATTTGCATAGGCCGCCGGAGTCCGCTGGAGGCCGGCCAATCGGCGCGGCCCTCCACTAATGGCCATGCATTATTCACCAGCCTAATTGCTCAGCCCCATGCGCGGCCCGCGCAGCCGCCGCCGCCGCCGCCCTGCGCCCCGCGCCCGCCCCGCGCCGTCCCCGCCGTCCTCCCAGCTGATGCGGCTGCCCCGTGCGGGGTCGGAGCGCCGCTAGCAGCATGTCTCGGCGCAAACAGGCCAAGCCCCAACACCTCAAGTCGGACGAGGAGCTGCCGCCGCCGGACGGGGCTCCTGAGCACGGTGAGGGCCGGGAACTGCAGGGTGGTCCGGGTGCTGGGGCGCCCACTTGGTGTGGGGAGTGCGGTCTGCAGGAGCAGATCAGCGCATCTCGGGAGAGAAAAGTTCTCCGTGCCTGCGAGCAAATGTCGGAGTTGCGCCCGGCTCCCGGGCCAGGCCGGCCGGGGGGACCTGGGTCCTCCGCCGGAGCGCGCGGCCGCAAGGAGTTGCGGGCAAGTAAACTTGGCTCTGCTCCTCGGAGTTGGGGCGCTGTGCGCGAAGGGCGCTCGGCCGGGCGGCTGGGGGGCGACTGGAAGCCGGCGCGGCCGGACCCAGAGGCCTGCGAGCCGAAACGGAGCGGGTGGGGGTTCGGGCCGCCGCCTACACGCTGCCCCCCGGCCTCGCTGCATCCAGACATGGGGCGGGTCTTGTGACGGCGGAGACCTCGCGGACGCGCCCGACCCCGGCCCATCTCCGGAACGACTAGGAGTCGGAGCAACAACGGGATACGCTTCCGAGGCTCACCTTCAGCGGGTGTCGGAGGCCGCCGCCAGGCCAGCTTTGTTCGGCTTAGCGCGCCCGGTGCCCGGGTGCTGTGTGCCCGGAGCCAGCCGGGGGGCCCACGCAACCTCGCTGATCCCAGGCTGTGCTCCCCGCCCTCAGTACCGCTTGCATGCCGCCTAGAGTGACCCTTGGCCGCGAACCCCGCGATGTCCCAGAGCGATGACAAATCCGATGATCCCATTCGGAAACGAGTAGAAAGTAAACGTCTCTGGCCTTTCCTTAATGGCCGACCTGGGAATTAAGCTGGGGTGAGCGCAGCTGTAGCCATGGGGGGCTGGGTCCTTACACACCGTAGAACTCCAGCAAGTTTCTGGCTGGTTTCAAGTTTTTTTTTCTCTAGCGGTTTTTGTTGTTGTTGTTCTTTTGGATGCATCGAAATTGGGCACTGGAGGCACCTTTGCAATTAATTCGCTGGGAAAATTTTTCTCTTCGAAACACCCAAAAGTGAAGGACGGGCGCGGCGGAAGTTAGAGACTAACGAAGATTCGAATAAAATGTAGCTGAACTTTGGCACTATAAAGTTTAGAGAACCTCGAATCCGTTTCATCAAGTTAAAAGCTTCGGCCCTGGGCGCCGCCGGGCTTCTAATGCGCGCCCCACAGGGCTCCCAAGGGCGCCCTCAAAGAGGGCCGAGGAGGGGCGGCCGCGGGCACCGCACAGCCCGCAGTCAGCACGGACGTGAGATAATTTGTTCCTTAAAAAAATAGGTTAGCCAGCCTTTATGATTAACCCATTATAAACTGTTTGGAGGCAAATACTAATCTTTTTACTGTAAGAATTGGACTGCCTAAAAAAAAAAAAAAAAAAAAAAAAAGAGGGGAGAGTTTTAAGAGTTTGTCACACAGCGATGTAAATAAAGTTTGACAAAGCAGAATACATCTTCCTCAGAATGGAGAAAGTGAGAAAATGCGTAGAGCAGATAAGCTAAGGATTGAATTAAATAAAATTCAGGATGGATCTTTTTGTTGTGGAGGTGAGGGAGCGGTATCTTCGGCAGCAAGTCAGCCAAGATTAGAACAGACGATATGCTAAAAAGAAACGCTTGCATATGTTGGGTAGATTAAGGACAAAGAATCTTTTTGTCATGGAAATGGATTTTTTTGTTTTGTTTACTTCTTCACATAGAATTTCTCACACTTGGTTTGTTTTGTATTGCCCTCAATGACTACATGATCAAATGAATGGATTTATTTCTGCCGAATGAGAAAGACAGTCTTTCCTTCAAAAGAACTACATTGCATCCCAGTGAGGAATTTTAAAGCTTTATTATTGTGGCTCCTGAATAGCTTAAAATCGGCTTTCACAGCCGCCCCAAAATGCAACAATGTAAATACTTCTCAGCTTTGTAGGGTCGTTATCAAAATGTGCAATGTCTCCTCTTATTAAAGCATATTTTAATTAATAGAGTAAAACCTCTTGTATTTAACAATTAACAAGCTGAGGTGCTGCTGTTCATTTTTAATTTCACTTCAGAAATGTGAGCGTGATGAACTTAATAGTGTAAACATGTTGGAGGATATATAGTGCTGAAACCCTCAGAGCAATAATTTATGAGTTCTATTTTGAATTTGCCTTGCTTCTTGAATTGGTTTAGAGATTCACCACACCCAGGCTTTCCACCATGGTAAGAGTGGAGTTTTTGTCCAGCTTGTGTTTTCTACAGCTATTCTGAGTTCTAATCACGATGTTGCTACAGTCCCTGATCATATTTTGCAACAGGCCAGAAATAACCTGTCTGGGGCTGAGCCCTAGGAAAGCAGTGTATTTCCCGTGCCTGTTTGAAGGGGAGCTCAGGCAAACTATTAAAACAAGTTCTTTCAGATTTAATTGTTCTGAAGCAGATTGTTCATGGAGCATAAAAGATACTCTGTTTCCTGTAAAGTCAAGGAATGCTTATGTGTGTATTACTCTAAGATAACCAACTGAAGTTTATTTTTAAAAGACTAATGGTTGTACAAACTAAATTACTCCAACATGAACCAGATCTCTTCAGATTTTTAATTTGTGGGAATAAACATGTCTCCCGTGGAGTTACAATTGAGCTAAGTTAGGTTACAGTGTTTTACAAATGAAGTAAATAATTCCTTTGTATCATTTTGGGTGTAACATATTAATTAAAGCAATAGGTCCATCTACCAGTAAATTGATGTCATGAAAAACATACACTGGAAAAAATTTATAATGGACAGAGATGCAGAGGCACGTTACTTTATAGTTATAAAGCTCATATTTTTATAATTTCATTTTCAGGCTGCAGTTTTTAGGCAAGCAATGAAAACAGTGCTAAACAAAAATAGATTTGGAGCTATCCAATCTGATCACTGAATGAAATGATGATGCATTTAGAATAAGAAAATGGAAGCATGATTTATGTAAAGTTCTAAAGTTATCCTGTGGTAAAAATTTAAGATCATTCAAACTTGTATTCCTAATAGAAGCTGTCCTTTAAAATTACTTATTTGCTAATTATTTCATTCCCATTTTAGAAGTAAATGCTCTGGAGTTAAGTTAAATCTATGTCAACAATAATGATATCCTTTGAACCAGCTGAAGATTTTTGTTCTAAGAAAACTAATTAAAACTTCCAATGACAGTGCAGCACTTAACTCCCACTAAGAACTTTAAAGGTGTAATGTTGTTATCCTGTGTTGCATAAATGCAATTGAAGAAAGAAGCATTTTACTGTCCTTAGAGAGTATGTATTTAAAGAAGAACAAAAGCATATTGCAGTTTAAAAGTTTGCCATCCTGCATTTTGTTGGTACTAATTGCTTCAAAGTGTTTTTATTTTCTGCCAACTTATAGTATATGGCTATTTTAAGAATCCTTTCAAATATGGTGAGCCTGTGACCTAAGGATTTACCCGAGGAATTCACAGGCTGTGTTTAAATTCAGGGAAAGAAGGCACTCGGTGAAGAGGTCTTTTTTCTTTTATCTGTAGATGCAGGGTTTGCGTTCAGCTCCCCCAGCACACTACCCACATTTACAATTCAGCATACCAAAAGGACAATGCAGAAGCCACTTTCCAGCATCCGCAGGCAGATTGTTTTCTCTGAAACATAAAAAGTAAAAAGTTAGTAACCAATAAAAAGAAGGAAAACCTGCAAATATTTCTTTTAAAAATAACACTTAGCAACTTAACCCATTATAGGACACATATTGCTGTGATCAACAAAAAAGGGGCCCATTAATTCTACCTTTCACAGAGCTGATTATGTAAGTGACAAGAGTTAGGGAATTTTTGTGTACAATGCATCTTAAACTTTCACAGCATATGCATAATCCAGAATTTTTCAGTGTGTTCAGAGCCAGAGAAAGGAAAAGGTATGAAGTAACAGCAGGAATTACTTAGCAAGCTGATTATTTTTTGTATCCACAATGATGGTGAAAGCAGGCAAAAGTGGGTCAGATTTCATTTTCAGCTTCAATCTCTAAGGAGTTCTACCATTCATCTCCAGGTAGCCTGAAGAATATTTTCTTTCAGGGGGAAATGCAGCAAAGGTACAGCCAAGGTTTCTATTCTGCAGTCTGACCGTCAGTTGGAATTTAGTATTCTTAAATGTAAGTATTGGCACAGGCTTCCATTTAAGTAAATTTAAAATCTTTTTAACTGCTAATAAGGTTATTCCTGATCTGGTAATGCTGCCAGATAGTTTTAAGAAGCATAAATTTTAAATAATGTAACAGGAAAGGTGTTTTTGGGATTTTTTTTTTTTTCTGTTTTACTGGCTTTGCTTTTCCTACATGATTTCCTGATTCATTTCTAGGATGAGAGCAACATATCTTAGATAGTCTCATGAAGATGTGAACTAATTTTACTACTGTTAGGGTAGCTTTGTAATTACAGCATAAGTTAAGCTGCTACACATTTCATACATAATCAGACATAAATAAAACCTATGTGAAAATCAAATACTTTACTATTTAAGTGAACTTTGATTTCTAAAAAAAATCTTGAATTTTCTTCTCTTGTAATTTCAACACACTTATGATTTAAAATGTAGTTGTGTGTAGTTTCCAAGCAAACAAATAAGGGAAGTCATGTTACAAAAAGTATAAAATATTAACAAGGTAATGGAATGGCCTCTATGTTACAGATTAAGATTGATTTGTTTCTTAATTAAAGGGAAGAATTTTCGAGCATTCACCAACGAGACCAGATGAGGCCAGTTGGTATCTAAATATTTTCCTCGGTGGGCCTTTTTAAATCACCCCCAGATTAGTTCTACGAGCTATCAGAGATCCTACTCCCTTTGCATTCTGTGAACAGCGGCCACACAGCGTAGCATAGAAAGCCTTTTTGTCTGCTGTCTGTGAAAGGTGGGCTGCAGAGTGCTGGGCAGCCTCCGACAGACTCTCCCTGAAGGTGGGTAGTTAGAAGTGCTTTGACAAACCTTGCTGATTTAACCTTTGCCTGCTTTGCCCTGCCAGGGGTGGCCACTAGATGTCAAGCTCATAATA